TTGAAAAAATAATTTGTTTTTTTGCAATTGGTCACTTTAATTTATATAAAAACAACAAAAAATAGTCTAGCATCAAAGTTGATAAGATAATAATGGTAAATTTAAAAGATACTTACAAGTAATTGTGCGAGCGAGCAGTTTTCCAAGAGTGCTCTCTATTGCCGGTTAGGCTCATTTTGCTGGATTGTTAGGCCAGATAAATTTTGTCAGATCGTCACTAGACGAGAAAAATATGGATGACTAAAGTCATCCGGACTTTTGCTCCTAGTGTGCGTAAATTTTAGCCTCTCCGAACTGATCTCAGAATAACAATTCATTCACCCATTCTGCTTCTTTCTACCTTTATTTTTCGGCTATATTGTTGTTCGACAAGGCATGGTGCATCATCCGAATTTGAACCATTCTCGATTTTCGGTAACAATTATTTTGCCGTGGCAATCATGTCATTAAGCCACATACGCCATGTAAGCTCGAACTGGTGAAAAAGGAGAAATATCATATGGAGGGATGATCAATAAGGCATGATTGAATAGCGAAAATATAATCCGATTAGAGGGCAAGCCATCGTAGTTTTGGCTCCTGCCCTTTGAATTAAATGATGAAGGCACCCACACGTACTTCTTCCATTTCTAGTTGACCCTCTGGCCCCATGAACCAGTGTGAACGAAACTAAGACTGGAAAATTACTCGAGAAAGAAAATTATCTATTTTTGCTTTATATTCTAGAAAGTGTATAAATAATGTTATTTTAAGATCAAAAAAATCAATTTAAAAATTGTATAAAAGGTGAAATTTTTTGCTGAAATTTGATATACCATATATTGCTGCAAAAAAAACTTTAACAACCAGCTGTTGCTCAAATACTTCGTTTCATTTTTTATGTTCCTCTTTTTTTCGGATTTCCTTTTTCCTTCAAATGTTTGGAGTCAGTTTGCAGAAATCTTTTTTCATAATTCATCGTTTGTTTAGCCTTCTCGTTACTATTCGATGAATGGATGGATGGACGATATTCTCATAAAACTTAAAACATCGTTAAAAGCCACTACAAATCTATTCTATCCTCCATCATTTTAGCACAAATATAGTTTTATCCTTTTTCAAATTATCAAAGTTGGAATGATAAACATAAATATATCTTTCTAAAAAATAAAATTGATAGCAGAACAAAATAAATTAAAAAACTGATGAATTGTCCTGAAATATTAATAGACCAATGAAAAAATAGATGACACTTTTTATTTAATTCCTTACATTTCTTCAAAAGATGCTTTAAATATCATAAATTAATTAAATAATACGGCCCAATTAAGACAGACTATACAGTGCAAAAAAATAAGCCAACTTAAAAATCATTGCAGACTAAGCTTAATTATATATGATATGGAGATTCTCAACTCCGAATTCAAGAAATTCCTCTGAGGGAGGTTGAAAGATTTCAAAAAATAAGTGGATAGAGGCCTATGAAGAAGCAACGAACGTATAAGGCCACAATGGCCATTTTTCCAACCGACAAGCATAATTTTATTCTGTGTTTAGAGATATGGTGAAAACGGTGGAACAAATGTTGAAAGTATTCGACTTAAATAAAAATAAGTAATAATTATCTTATATGATAGAAATAATTTGATTTTTCATAGAAAATAGGTATTCTCGTCAAATTCGGTGAAATCCAATCGCATAATTCTATCCATCAACAAATGTGATTGCTACCTTAAATACTTTGTTTTTAATCCTACTTATACATTTGAAGGAAATAGTTAACTGGAGCTCAATATTTTGTAAATCGAGTATAAAATTTCCAGAATTTATTGTAAAATTCATTATTAGTAGTTTTATACTTCTAACCATTATTGATCACCAACATTTTAAAAGATCTTTTACCAGGCAATTTAGGAATTTTTTTAAAGAGTCCTCAAGATTACTGGTACCTGGTTTGTCACACTGGATAAATATGCCAGGGAATCCCTTTGCGATAGAAACAGGTGAGTCAGGACCATGTAAATTTTAGATAGATTTATTCCTTTCAGAAGTAGAATCTCAACATCAGCTCTTCGAATTGAACAACAATCATTGAGCTATTGAGCCTTCCTTTCTCCAATAATGTGTGAATAGAAACACAAGTCGATCTCCTAGTAGATTTGCTCTTACCATAGATAAAAATCTTGAGATAATCTGTCGTGATACTTTTGGAAAATGATAATTGCTGTGATATTTTATCCTACTTTTACCAAAATTTTTTTGCATGTCTCTAATGAATTAATGCCTTTTGATCTAAAAATATCGCCTAATTCGATATATTACATATTACATTACAGAATATATTACAAAATGAAATTTTTATCAATGTGAAATTCAATGTGATATTTTCGATCAAAAGCCAGCAAATTTCTCATTAACCTATTCTTAAATCGATGACAATTTTTTATAGATAATTTTTTTTATAGATAGACAATAATTTACTAAAAATATATAATATTCGTTGGTTGCTGCGTTGTATCAAATTACATTATACGAAAAAGATAGATGTGCTTATCACAAATGTTCTTTGGCTTGGCCAAATGTTTGCGATAATTGTTGTTTCGATGATTAAAATTCTTTTTTTCATTCTTCTGTATTTCTTGAACAACGTTTCAGGTATGCTTTCACAATTTGTTGTTTCGATTAACTTTTTTAATGAAAAAATCTAAAATTAATTGGTAATATCAGTAATGAAAAATTAAAGAACTGTGCCTTATTATTGTAATATAATAAACAGTTGAGTTTTAAGGAGTTTTTAAGAAGTTGATAAGGATGGAAATAAAAATATCTTCTTCCTAGTCCCTTTCTCATATCATAAATAGTTCTCTTCCTCATGATTATTAAAAGTGATTGTTCCAAAAGTGAGGAACGAGGTCTCTTGGGGATTCCCATTCCTCTTTCAAACAACCTTCAAAATAAAAACCATTTTTCACGGCAAAAATAATTATAGCAATGTTATAACCTCACTTGTTTTTTTACTCCTAAAATACTAGGTTAATTAAAATTTTTAGCAAATTATATAAACTCTGTAAAGGAAGATTTAATTTAAAAAGAAAATTTTGCGCACAGTTTAATAGTCAGTTATTTCAAAAATTTCGCATTTTTAACTTAAATAAACAAAAGTTGTCTTCAGTAATTTTTTTGAACCCAAAAGAATCCTCTGCGCGAAACATTTAAGAATAATCAGTATTCGCCAGTTAATGGAATTTTTTCAAGGTGTACAGTGGCTTATATAATTCTTTAAGAGATCACTAGGTAAGATTGAATAAGAAAATATTTTTTTATCAAAATATCAAAATGTCAGACCTATTATTTAGTTTATATGCAACTGTTGATCTAAAATGCATATTGGTAATTTTTCAATGTATTTTTCTATAAAATTTATAAAAATTGGTTTTTATCGGAGAATTTCACGTAAGCCTTTCATTAAGGACAAAAATTAGGTATGCCAAGTATGAAGAATAGCAATTTTGAACAAAATTAAAAAATACATTGAAGAATTATAAATGCTTTAAAGGCGATTTGTGAATTTTTTAGATAATTATTTATATTAATGGAGTTAATAAAAAGAAATTTGTATTGTATTTTAATTTAAATTGACTTTTTAATTAGCATTTTCTTTCTTTCTTTTAACTAAAAGCTTTTCATAGAGGCAAAAATTTTATCGAAATCTGAAATTATTATTTTTTAAATTTTTTTACTGAGATTCCCAATACTTCTTCAGAAAAAACAGATTTTTGTCGAAATGCTATTAGTACAAAAATAAACTTAAACTTTCGATCATATTCTATAATGATTAGAAGGAAATAAATTTATGAGAAAGAGATAGCATTTTTGGTTAGTTTGGCTCGTTTTGCTAGTTGCTAGTGATGGATAAACAATTTTGGAGAAAAAGTTTGATGTAGAAATATAGATTTGTCTCTGGTGCGACCCGGATTTTTTAAAAATTGATACATGAATTGCTGAATCTCGGATAGAAGAAGCTGCAGCAAAATTTGAAATTATCCAAAGGACTATAGGTCTGAAGGAAATGTAAAAATATTAGCAAAAAATCAAGCTGATTCCTTTTAACCCATTGCGGTATTTTGAACTTAATCTTTAAAAAAATCATCAGTCAAATTTAAGCAATTTTTTGAAATAAGGGGTTCCAATGTATCTAAAAATCTAGGAAATTTTGATATGAAATAATGAAATTTCACAATAAAAATAGCAAATTTATTTGTAAAAGGGTGAAATTGTCATTTCCTTTTCGGATAGCACTGAGAATAATATCTGCAAAAATGGATCATAGTGAACACATTTTACTTTACCTAATTGTTTTCCATAAGAAAGAAAATTTATGGCAAAAATTTGGAATATTCCAGCTAAAATTTTTGAAATCATGCGTTATGTATTTGGAATAAGTGGAGGAGAGTGGTTGATTATGGTTATTTTGATTTATATCACACTTCATAGATTAGTCCCATTTTTTCCTATTTCTTTATGAGGATTCATCTGTCATCAAGGTTTATATCGGAATAGTGCTAGCTCACTTTTACTTTCAGCCTTAATAAATTCTCTGGCGCTGGTCTCTTGTGACTGTATGTGACAGGTGGACGGATTAAATGATAGGGATGATTTTATATAAATAGTTGTATCACACAAAAAAAAATGCAAAAAGCTTTCTTGGTTTTAAAGTTTCCATACTTTCTTGGAAGAAACCCGCAGTTTTTTTATAATACTTCAATTAAATCTTTCTACTAATTCATATTATTTTTTCGCTACTTATAAGATTTCTAGTTTATAAGAAATAAACGTTTTATAGCGATTCAATTTTTGATCAGTACAAATCTTTCTTTCAATAATAATCATTTCCATTAAAACGAATTGAAGCTAATATCTCTATCAACCAGTAAAAATGAACTAAACCTTCATTATAAGAAATATATAAAAAATTTGTTCCCGAGGAAAAATCGATTCTTCAACGAAATTTTGCAGGACATATGCCAATTAACCGATGTTATTCTTGCATGTCACCATTGTATGAAGAGTTTTTCAAGAATAACATTATGTCTAGGTTTGTCATCTATTTTACCTATCCAAAAAATTGCGTACAATTCTTCCAGAATACTAGATTTTCAGATTTTTCTTTGAACCAAAGAATTTCACATCACAATGTGATGATCCAATGCAGCCTTATAACGTAGGCCTTGTGCCGTGTAGATCAATTTGTCTCATCTTAACTCAGGATTTTGTTGTTATGGGTGAATATTTTTTAAAGATTTTCGAAATTTCAACTTAACATAAGCTATATTTAATATTATATTTAAGTTATATTGTTATTATTTGAAAACCATAGTATTTGGCTTCCACTTAAAAATTTAAAAAGAATTGGCTTACTTTGAATCGCACCATGTTTCTTAGCCTGAAAATAATGGAGTTTTAAGAAATTTTGGCCTATTAAATATCAAATAAGCTCGGTTGAAATTTATGGAAAAAAATTTAGTTTTATAATTTATATCAGCATATAAGCGAATCTTCGGCCCATTTTAATTAAATGATTTAAAGGAAGGAAGACGGGCAAAAAATTAACAATTCGTGGTTGCTCATCATCAATAAACCGATATGGTTTTTACAATCGAACAATGACATTATTTGATAGGTTTATCTAAAAATGTTCCGATATGCTTAAAATTTAATATGAAATTTTTGGTTGAAGAGGCACTATGGGCCTTGTAAATCCAAATACTGTTGGTGACATTTTTATTTTATTGTCAGGTGAAAATTTTTCGAACTGTACTAACAGTTGCTTCTCGTGCTTCTCTAACCAGAGTTCTAAAAACTTAAAAATTATTTGCATAAATTTTTTCAATTCCATAATTTTAATAATTTGTACCAAAATCAACTGGCAACTAAACTAAATGGTTGTCCTTTGTGGAGCAAATGTAATAGCTTTGGTCAGATTAGAAAGCTATTATTTTCAATCGTTGCAGGTTTTGATTTTTTCAAGTACCTATTTTGCAGGTATGACATTTGTCGTGATGTAAAGGCATCGGATTTGTTTCGTTATGAGACCGATTCACAACTTGTACGAGTTTGTTCTTGTCTAGGCGATCGCTGTAATGCTAGTATTAATCGGGCAACAAATGCAGTGCATGCACTTGCCTTTCTATCTTTATTCATTATGCTTTTATGAGTATCGATATAATATATATCTAAAAAAATTTTACATTTTATATATTTGATGTTCGATACGCATAAGAGTAATAGCTTGTGAATTTCCTTTAAATTTTTTTTCTTAAAGAAATCGCGAGTAATCAAAATCTGAAAATTTATGAAATTTACAAGATGCAAAATTTACAAAACTGCAACTGCGACAAAAGATTCAATGTTGGATTGAAGCTTAAGCACCTTTTTGAAGCACAAAACAATTTGTAATAAAGATGCTGTGACTTAATCACATGAAATCAAAGAAGCGGAATAGACGAGTCCAACTTTTTCGTTCCCTTTATTTTACTTTTCTCCTTATTTTTCGTATATATTTACTGTTTTTTTGTCTTATTTTTTTAGCTCAAATCTTGTTTCTTAATAATTTGAAATCGCAAGAAATATTGAAAAAAAGTCTTATATTTAATGAAAACGAAAATTTAAAGAAAAAAAAATTTGTTGAATTTCCTATAGATTTCCTCGAAATATTTAATTGAAAATATTTGCGAAAAAATGCAATAATTTTCAAGAAATAATTAATTCGGCTTCAACTTAAAAAATAAAAGTATATATGATGTTTATTTAAAGTATTTAAATAAGTAACACATACATACATATATATATATATATATATTCACATATATGAAAAGTATACAATTTGCGTGGGTACCGTCGACCAATCTATTCACATATCTGCAAATGGAATTCGCTTAATCTGTGAAATCAGCCAAACAGAAACAAAGGGTGATATTAGGTTAAGATAAAAGAAAAACTGTATGTACACGTATAAGTTGAAAAAAAAATTTAATTTTTAATTTCAATCTGTTATTGTTTTTTCTTCCTTATTTTTCTTAGTTCCTGCTTAAGTAAAAAATGCAATTTTTTTTGATATTTATAATTACTATAATATCATTGCTGCTCACAGCATAAATGTTATTTATCTTATGTATGAATCCTCATGATTTACTTTTCCTTAAGAGATTCAAGAGGTTCAATCGGACGTGACTTCTAGTGTCAAGGCTGAGCCTAGTCAATTGATATCGATGCTTGACCTAGTCGTCTAAGCAATACACCACTATCTCTAAGATATTTGAAGCGATCAATAGTTTCAACTATAATATAAAAGCTATTTAATTTTGTAATCCTATAATAAATAATATAAATTGTATAAAATATAACTTTCCTTCGAACGCAATTTCTTACTTTTTCATTTCAAAATATCAAATATACTATTACCATTATGAATTCTTAATTATGCGTGTCTATGAAGAGATTAAATATTTATGATTAAATATTCACACTTCTTTACTATAATTAACATTGTTACCATAGCTACTCTCTACAATGTCAATAAAATTTTCGAAAAGTTTTTACCTTAATTCTAATTTAATTTAGCGTAGTTGTCTCTTAAAATAATTGCTCGAAAGAAGAACTAAGTGGCACATATCAGCTCTGATTAGGCTCCGCCGAAATTTTTAACAATAGAGCAATATAATAAATAGTAGAAAACTGAAAAAAAAGTAAAAACTAACTGGGAATAAATATAATCAATCAATATAATATAATTAGGATTTCGATTTTTCTCTGCTGATTTTTTGGTTTCTGAAAAGTTCCCGAAATCCAACTAAATTCCATAATGTTGCCAAATTTTGTGTAGAGAACAGAGAAAAAGTGGCTTGTGATAGTTAGAATAATCTCAAAAAATAATTTTTCGGTTTTTGGATATGCATGCAAATGTGCCTCGGTTATTCAAACATTGAAGTTAAGCATTTTTAATTTAAATTAAAGGCGCCTTTAAAAATTCCTTTTAATCTATTTTCTTTGTTTTTATTTCTAAAATTAATTTTTTTAAACAATTTTATTTTAAAATAGTTTCTCGCTCAAAAGTTTGTTTGAAAAAAAAACGCATTGTGCGCAAAAGCAAATCTGTTCGATCTGTTTCTCTGTAAGAGTTTTTTAATTATTCTCAAATTATTTCCATAAATTAATTATTTTTAGTATAATTTTTTAGATTTTCTTTATAAAGTGATTATTTTAAATTGATAGAGGGTTTTTGAAAAATTTACCCATTACTTTATCGGAGATTTGAAGAAAAACTCCGATATGGTTATTTTATAAGATTTCGCAAAAATACTGCAAGTAGGTTATAATGGTGATGGTATTATAATCGATTTGATTGCTGCTAAATTGCGTCATTCACCATTTTTTGGCTTAACTCCTAGAATCCTGTTAGATCGATGCTTTCAATATCTATAGGCTTCTTAATAGTATTATAATATTATGATTCCCAAAAACTTCTTAACAGCCTATTAAAACATCCTCTAAACACATCATAGTTACATTCATTTTCCAGAAGCCTTTACATCCTTTGGCTTTTCTATAGAACTGAAATTCTTTCTTAATACTATACGAAATTCTGTTATTCTCTTTTCTTTCATTTTCTTGGTATTTCGCTCTTTTTTTATTTATGATTTAGTATCATTAAAATAGGTTTATAATTATTCATATTATATCTCTTATATTGTATCTCTTATATCTCTTATATAAACTAGTACAAATCAAATATTCATAATTGGTGTACTATAATTGTTCGCTGTTTCAAAGGCATGTCACGAAATCGCAAAAAATATTTAAATATGCAGAATTTTGCATTATTTAATGTCCTTGATTACTTATTATTATTTATTATTTGTTTATCATTTTTTTTATTATTTGTTTCGAATAAAATTAAATATATTTAACAATTAATCAATGAATACAGTGTGAAATTTCTAATTAATAAAAAATTGCGAAATTTTAAAATTGTGGATTTTTAAAAATTTTTTTCGATCTATTCAATCACTCCTTTCATCAGAAAAATTGAATTCTTTAAAATTTTTAAAGGTGAAATGAGTTAAGAATCACTTCAACAATATATTGCACCCTTGTTTAAATAATATTCAAATATAAATAATATAAATATAAGTTATTATTAAATATTGCATCCTACGAATAATAATATATCTATTTCGGTAAAATCTATTTCGGCAATTTACAGTGGCAGAATAATGCCAGTTAAAGGAACAGAGGTACTAATTAAGGTATTCCCAAAAATTACCCAATATGAAATTTATTGTTTATCCATCAAATCAATCTAATTATCGTGAGGAAAACTGTTGCAGATGACAAGCCTTCAATTTTGATGGCTTTCACGCAAGGATAGAACAATAAATAGTTTAAATTCTCGTGGAGGTGGGCTTATCACGCTTATTCCTGATTATTATAAATTTGTAACTTTTGATGATTTTGTCTATTCCTCTTTTTAATCTCTAATAACTAAAATTTATCTTAATAATAGAAATATTTTCTTTTTAAATCTATACCGCCTAGCTGGCTATGGGAGTAAATTCACTATTCTTTACAACCTGTTATTTAGATTAAAATTATTTCGTGCCAATTATGTAATTGTTGATGATCTTAATATGCCAAATATAGATTTGGAAAATAGTTGCTTGAAAAATAGCAGCAAATTTGAAGAGGGCTTTCTAAACCTTTGTATCTATATAGGTCTAGAGCAATATGATAAGATTGCCACTAGGTATAATTTTAGATGTTGTGCTAACTATTTCTACTTCTTTTGTTGATAGCATTAAAATTTTAACGTAAATAGAATTGGTTGCACTTCTCTCGGTGAAATTGAAATAATACTACTGGATGTTTACGATGCCTTAAAGTAGATTTAAGCCATCCATTTCAGCTGGTCCCGATGATAATCCACAAATAATTTATAAAAAATGTGCAGTTTTTCTGAATCTTCCCCTATTTTTAATTTGTAAGGACATTATGAAATTTGGCCTTAATCCCAAAATTTGGAAGTTGTCTCATATAATTCCCATTCATAAAAAAGGAAGCACCCTATGACTCTTCTAATTATAGACCTATTAGCCTAACATGCTTGGTAGCAAAATACTCGAAAGGTTGATTTGTAACAAATTGGTTATTTTGATGCCAATAATTCCATATCCTCCTATCAGCATGGCTTTTGTACGAAAAAATCTACTTCACAAATATTGGTAAGCATCAATTGACAATGGAAAAACAGTTTAATTATGTACCTAGATTTGGCTAAAGCTTTTAATACTGTTTCCCATAGTAAATTATTGATCACTCTTAATATTTATGGCATTACAGGAGCCCTGTGTGTCAGATTATATAAAAGATCGTTACCAAGCTGTACGCGTCAATAACATTCTCTCTGACCTGTTAAATCTGGTGTTCCCTAAGGTAGTTGTATTGCGCCATTGCTTTTTCTATTATATATAAATGATATCACCAATGTGGTACTAAATTCTATTTATCTTTATGCTGATGACTGTAAAATTTATTATTCTCATGGTAGAATAGATAGTCTATCTCCACTGTAGGAGGACCTCAACAGAATAACCAACTGGCTATATTTATTTATTTATTGATAACCAGCCAAGCAGGGCGACAATGCCATGTGCTTGTATTAATAATAACAGTTAAAATAACAGAAAAAGAAAACACAAAAAAATAACATAAACAAAATTAATTATAAAACAATATGTCAAAAATTAACAATTTAAAGAGGAAATTACAGATACATCAATAGATCAATATAATATAGTACAATTCGAAGTAACATATGTAACCTGAAGATGAAATCGAGATTTCTCATTTCCTGCAGTTCTTGCCTGGTGTAAACTGTATATAATAGGCAAATTACTCTTTCCTTTCAAAAATATAGTGTTCTTCATATCAATTCTAAAGGTTTCGATTTTCCTAATTTTATTATTAATGGCAATATAATTAGTAGAGTCTCACACATTTCCGATCTTGGAATAATCATGGATGAAAATCTCGATTCCGACCTTCACTACAGAGCCATGGTAAAGAAATCCACAAAGATACTAAATTTTATTTTTCGTTCGTTTAAGAACAAAACTGAAGGTTTTCTTATCAAAATGTACAAAGCGTTCGTTCGGCCACTTCTTGACTACAATACTACATGTTATTTCACGAGATATCGTAAATCAAGTAAAATAATTGAAAGACTTCAAAAATATTTTATCCTAATTGAAATTTTAATTATAAAAGAAAACTTCTACAATATACAAAACTCTACAAAAACCTGGATTCTCTGTCAGTTCGTCTTATTAAACAAGATTTAATTTATAATTATAAGATTTTGTATGGTTAGTCAAACTAGATTATATTATAATTTTGGGTTAAATTTAAATCCAACAACAAATAATGGGCTAAAATTACTAAAACCTATGTGAAAACTAAACTAAGGACTTATGATTTCTTTATTCGTAATATTAATTACTGGTATAAACTACCGAATGATATAGCTTGTACGCCATCCCTAGCTATTTTAAAAAAAGATTAGATAATATCATTTATGATATTATTTAAAAAGACCACGTCATGCAGGAAATGTGAAATCTCGATTTTTGCCATCTGATTATAGTTATTTTGAACTGTACTAGATTATATTATTTTGTAATTTCTTTTTATTTCATCCTTATATTGTTAATTTTATCTTATTATTATTATTTTATTATTATTATTTTTTTTGTTTTTGTCATTAATTCTTATTATATTTTAACTATTGTTAACTATTTTAACTATTAATATAAGCACATGGCGTTTAATATATGCACACGCCTTGACTGGTTTTGAATTAATAAATAAATAAAATTTTCTATTTTGAATTGTAAAGCAGAAGCGAAGCAGAAGGAAAGGAGGATTTAAAATAGGATTTAAGAAGAATTTAGCAATTTTATTGGATCTCATTTTAAAACTTACAAAACTTTCTCATTCCGAGAGAGCAGATTTTTCATAATCTTCCAAATGTTATTTCCATGAATGTGATTCATTTATCTATCATAAAAATTATTTAAAATGATTAAATCCAATATGTCAGTCAAAATTTGCCAAATTTGTTGTTCGATTAAATAAATCGACTTTTCTTTCAGGTTCATAAAATGCCACAAAATCTTTTCAATAGTTTGCCACCAGCTGCGAAGGATTGGGTGGCTGGTAAGCTCTTGAAAATTTCATATGTTTTCTCAGCAATTAAATATTTGTTGATTGAGAAGGGAAAACTAATTAAATTATCAAGCCCTGATAAGGGCATAAAACGCCGAGCATTTATTTATATTATAATTTTCTCAAATTAACTAATATTTAATTAAAATATTGTATTAATATGCTGTGCATATCATACATTGGTAAACCTTAAATTTTCTGAAGACATTTTAACATAATTTTTGGGAAAGTACGTTTTAAATTAGGATAGTATTCAGTTTCTATAGGTTAATAATTTTTGCTTCCATAAACCGTTTCCAAGCTTCTTATTTGCCTAAGAGCTAAATAAGCGTATGATATTAATAAATAAGCGTAATTAATAAACGTATGATTAATGGCAACTGCGACAAATGAATTTATTTTGCAAAATTAGATTCCTGGCAAAATTTTGTTTTTGCGTAAATTTTGATCTTAATCGAATTTTTACCAGCTTCTTGAAATTTTTCTGAAGATCCGGATTTCCGGACATATAGTTTCAAGCAAGAATCCGTTTAGTTAAATGACAATAACATTGATAATATCTGTTGAACGGTAATAACACAGTAAAAACAATGAAAATAAAAGGAAAATAGGGTTAGTCGATACTGATCGTTTTTTATTTTTTATTCGTCGTTTTTGATTAGACGACTTACTCTACTGGTTTTTCATTAGGATGAAATTTTTACCCAGTTACAGCAGCTAATAGCCCATATATAATTTGTATGATTACTGCGACAGTTGCTGTTACTACGGCCTTAATCTTGGCATTGATTCATTATTATCATATTTATCGATATATAACAAATGATTCGATTAAGACTGATTTATATTGCTTAACTTCTCTGCTACCTGTATATTATATTTTATTTTGTTCAATCTTTATGTTACTGTTTGCTTCATATTAGTCGGATTTTTATCACTATCATCAATAAAATTGGATTTCTTGCGCTTATTTGCCAAAAATTTCTCTCTATCTTTTGTAGTTTTCTTATCAAGAATTAAAGGCTTATTGTTAAAATGTACAGATCTTGCTCAGCTTTGAAGAGATTTGTGCAATAATAATTCATTTGGCAAATTTTTTTGTTGACTGGTAATAATTCTGTCTGGAGCAGTCGAACTATGAAATAGGACCTAACGGGTCGGAAGAGTTATTGAATATTTAAAGACTCAAAAAAAGCTGCAGAAAAATTTGAATGGTTTCACTCTTTTATAAGATTTTCGAATTTTTCAAATTTTTAGGTTTTCTAAATGAAGAATAATTTTAGTTATCTTATGATGTCTTCAAACAATCGTAACTTTAATGCGTCATTTATTCGGATCTCGCGAAGCATTATCAGAATATTTAGCAAGGACTGGTTAAGAAATTTCCTTCAACGCGCCACCACTTTGTTGTTTTTGTTATTTCCCAAAGACCGTTGCTAATGAGTCAGTTCAATCATTTTTTTAATCTAATCTTGTGAGTAGTTACATTCAACGAATAGAATGTCTCATTCAGTTGCAATTAAATATTACCAATGATATATTAATTTAGCAGGTTTTTTTCTTTATTTGAAGGTCCAAGCAGAATGCCATCTGCTTTTCAAAATAAAGCGAAATTTTTCTGATCGTGAGTTCATAATTTTGCCAATTATTGCAACTTTTCTTTAATCTTTTTATTTTCATAAAGGAAATATTCACTTGGATCCTGCGAATAAGAGATGAAACTGGAGAAACTTCTAACTGCATAATTTAGCTTCAAGCACTCTTCAAAAAATTAGTAAAAAATTTTGAATAATTTGTTTGAAGAATTTTAATGATTTTTTTGCACTTCGCAGGTTCATATTTTGTAGTATTAATCCTTTTGGCATTTACCATCAATGTCAAATTTGGACTGAGTTTATAGGTCCAATTTACGAAAAATTGAATGGATGGTCTTACAATCGCCAATCGTTCGTATATTTTTAGAAACCATACTTGTTATTTACTTTCTAGAGCAATTCGATGAAAAGTATGGTTTTAATTTCATAAAGGCTTATAAGTAACTGGATATGTTATGTTGGTTTGCATCCAAAACTTAACCATTTCTTTTCTTTTTAAAAAAAAGTCTAATAGCTAAATATTCCACGATTTTGGGCGCAAAATGCCACTCCAGTTTCTTTTTTTAAACATCTTTTATTTCCAGTATTGCATTGCAAATGGTTTAAAATAGTTTGCAAAGTGGAAGAAAACAGTCTAAATTTTCGCAAATTATTAAAATTTTCAACCATCAAGAAAATCCATTTTCATTAAACTTGACCGGAAAATATTACTTGGAATCAAACTAGGAGCTGCTAAATTTCTCTATGCGATAAATTATTGTGAAATAACAACTTATTATAATTTGTTATAGGATACTTATAGTAATAAATATTTTGGAAGTTATATCAATGCTAATTGGAGCCTATGGATGTCAGATCTTAATGCTCACTGTTGCAGTAAGCTTTATTTTATAAAAAACGATAAAAAGTTTGCGGAATTTTCCTGTTTGATTAATTATGAAAATACATTCATAAAGTAAGGGCTTCAGCCATATAAATTCAAATTTCAATTCGTTAATTGGATTCAATTTTTTTTACGTTACAAAAATTAGTCTTCGATTTGATTGCCAAATATCACGGTTTTGATGGTGAAACTGATCCAGCTTCCAAGGCAATATGTAAGCGAATATCCTTGGATTTTTGTTATATTGTTAGTATTTGTAATTTTTGTTATATTGGTAATATTTGTAATTTCGCGCCAACTACTTATATACCTGAAACATTTTTTAAAAAAACTTGAAATTTTTCTTCATGATATCGAGATCCATAATATCGAGATGGGCGTACCTCTCAGATCCAACAAAGCAGGCAAAAATAGAGAAACATTGATGGATTTTACATTGAACATTTACATTCTTGGTGAAATATTGGTATTGCAAAAAACATATTAGCAGAAATAAACAAATCATTTTTTACCAAAAAACTTCTAAAATTACCTATAAACACCTATAATACTTTCATATACACTAGATTCGTTTGCTTGCCCAGTGCTAAAACCATATCCACTGTAATCGAATGTCACTAAATCACACTGCAAAAAATCACGCTGTTTCATCCTAATAGACATCGGTAAACTTAAAGAGAACTCCATTTTTTATAAATTTATATTAATAAAATCGGCTTTGAATCAATTAAAATTTTAAAAAAGCCTTGAGAATTTTCATGCAACTACAGTAATTGCAGTAACCACTCAAATAATAAGAAAACCAAACCAAATTCGGTTCAGTGAACATGCATAAACCAATATCGGAACTGTTTGGTTGTGCGAAGATTATATTATTATATTATGCTGAGATAACGTTTGCGTTCTTACTGATCTTTCACATTTAATATATAGTGCAACAATACAATCATTATTTTTTAGAGGTATCAGTAATAATTTAATATATCGCCAAACTGGCAAAGGTGGAAAAGATCCAGAAGTTTTATTAAAAACTTGGGAAAATTTTAAATTGTACATATGGTAAACAAATAAGATACAGTATAATATAAAAAAGACCTGTATTCTATGCAACTTAATCATTATTTCGAAATACGTGTGCTTCATACCAAATATAAGGGGGAAAAATAAGGTGACATCGCTATACTTTAAAGCCTTCTTAGCATCCTTCAGTAAAATACACTTTCCCTCCTGAAAAACCGAAACCAATGCTTGAAAATAATACAGAAAATTGTTAATTTTTCGGAAGTTCCAATGTTTCCAAGAGAAAATAAATGAATAATTCTTTTTCTAATAGCATTAATCATTTCTGGCCTGTTTAATTGTAGGTTAAATATATTTTAGTTAAGGAGATGGCTGAGTGAAACCAGATATGGTGAATAGAGTAAAATAGAGGAAGGAGAACAGGTGAAGAATAAGATAAAAAAAGCAAACTACTTTTGACCAGTAAGCGAATAATATTGGCCTTTTTTAGGAGAATTAAAGACAGCTTTACGAATCATAATTTTTGGTATAGGTGGACAGATAAATTCTCCCATGAATTTTAAAATATTCTATGCAACAGTCCATTGATTTCATTTTTTCAATTTCATTTTTTCATCCTAATTTGTTCTTCCGATCTTCAATAAATCTTAATTTTAATAATAAAGAAGCTCAAATAATAAAGAAAATTATGGCATATTTTTATCAGTGTTTCAAGAGAATTGCCACACCTCAATTAACAAAATTTAATTGAAACTATAAAATATAGAGTAATAAAATAATGGGAATTTAAAGGATTTAAAGATTGCCTTTGACTCCTCTCATAAAACATCCTTGGATAATGTAGAATGCAACGGTGTTCAAAAGAAGATCATTCGACCGAGACATGACATCATCAGCATGCATTAGTATAGATATGGGATCTTTTAGTATAGATATGGGAATTGATAGATCGAAGAACTGGTACTTATTAAGGTTTTTTTCCTTACAGTATTATACAGTACTATTACGATAGATTAGACTAAGACATCACTTACCAGCATTCAAGAGGTAGACAAATCAATCCTGAGCATAATGCCACCGAATATTCTGGTGGCATAGTTCTTTTTGCTGACAATTATGAAAATGCAAGAGAAACTAAATCTTATCAGAAATTATAGCAAAAATAGGACTAAAGATCAATACAAATAAATTCAAAGTGAAATAAGTTTTTTTTATCAATATATCAGATGCTGATAAAATGTCTAACTTTTCAGATCATCGGTTAAAGAAGTGCCAGATTGCAAATGCCTTAAATTGCCTGAATCCACTCGTATATCAAATGACCAAGTGAACGAGAAACTGCGGTTTAGTTTGTAGCATCAAAAAGTGCCGTGAAAAGTTTGTTAAATTCAGAAAGACATTAGACATTAACATAGCGAATTAAAAAAAAAGAAGAAAAAAATGTATTGTGAAACCGCCATCACGAATGAAGTGAACACTGTCACGATGAAAGAAGGCAAAGATGAAATGACCCGACGAAATGAAGAAAACGCTTATAATTTTGTGATACAATTACTTCGCAATTTCCGTCAAAAAGTGCTTTCTTTCGACTGCTGAAATTTCTATGGAATCGCAATAAAGCTTCAAAATGAAACTTCACATCAATTTGGTGTAATAAGTACCATTTTGTACTACAGATAAACAAATGATAGCGGGTGATATATAAGTTATTTACCTTTGACCACTTTTACCTAAGGCATATTTTAAGTTTTCATACGAATGTACAGAACTACATAAGATTAAATCCATCTTCGCTCAAATACATCTGCATTAGCACTGTCACAACATATTACATTTGTACGCTAATTAGACAATGTTCTTCCCTCCGTTTCAAGAGTTAACACATATTTCGCTATTCGTTCGTGACATGAGCCGCAAGGAAGACCAGTAAAGATTTGGGTATAAACCAGAAGAGGTTTTTGATTTTTAGGTGACTCAATGATGTATGGACTTATACGGACTGAGAAAGGGGTGGCTTCAGCAATTTTCAGGAATAGCATCAGATCGAGTAGTTTGGAAGTAGTAGCTTTACCCTCGAGGCAAGATCTAACCACTAGTACTGTGAGTACTAAGTAATTAGAAGATGATTAAAATATGCAGAGACGAGTAAAGAATATAACGAGTTTTGAAAAAGTTGTTTGGATATTTGAAGACAATTCTGCCGGAAAATCTTAAAATCCTTGCAAATAATAAGGTTATGAAATTTGAAAACGATCAAACGATTGTTAGCCATATAAAGTGAGAAAAAAGTTTTGAAATGTTTTTAATATTTCAGATCAACTAATTTTCTTAGTCAACAGTTTTTGTTGGTAGCGGTTTGCGGCCAATTGCCAAATATTTTTTGAAACAAACTATACTTTAATTATCGTTGCAAAAGCCGCCTATTTGAGTCAAATAAAATAAAGAACGAGTTTAGGCATATAAGTAGAGTCAGAAGAGATCCGAAACTTACATTCGATGGTAACTTTTAAATTACAAGTTAAGACTTTGAAAAACTAATCTGTAAATTTTTAAATTTTTAGTGAATTTCGCTCATTTATCATCAAAATGCTTGAGAACTTACTTACTTGTTGTCTTATTTTATTATTTAATTCGTTATTTCGAATCGATTCTCCATTATCGCAAAAAAAAATTCGCTAATTTTTCCCAATATAGTATTTTGTGTCGCACTGAAAATATTATAATGAAAGCTGGTTCAAAGGTTGCAAAATTTTCGATTAGATCTATCATCTAATCGCCTAATTATCATTCTTTTAACAGCTCTCATTATTGGTTAGGTTAGCTCCGCTGGCTACAAGGTCCCTAAGCTGCTCGGTTCGATGCCATCGCTAATAGTAATAGAAGCCATTCCTTTTTCCATCGTCTAAGTCATATATCCCAAATCCCCTACATTCAAAACCTTTCCTGATTTTATCAGTCCAGGTCTTGATTAGTCCTCGCTTTCACGCCAACCATCATAAAATACGAATTTCTTTCGACAAAAGCAAGAGTGAAATATGTATCAACTTCTGTGGTGGACAACGGAGAATGTGCCTAACCAGTGAAGGCAACGCTCTGTGATAACTTTATTAATACAAGTGGTATTTGAGCCAAGATGGATATAATCATGTGCAATCTGCTCGACGGAATGTACCTTAGCCATGAGTGGTCAAAGGCTAATAGTTTCTTAATATTTTCCACTTTCATTGGCCATATATTAAGATCGAGCGATTGCAGCTATATGGACGTGGATTTTCGTCTTTATAGTGATTTCGCGATTGTTCGGCTCATAAAGATTTCATCAACCGAAGAAACATATTCTTAGCTACCTTATTAGGGTTGCAATTTCATAAGCTCACTTTTCATGAGGCAAGTTAATCAAATTATTCAGATTATGGTGCGTGCAAACAGTTCAGCAAACATTTACTTTTAGCGAAAATCGAAAGAAAAGGAAAGAAATTTTCCTTTCTAATGCAAATTTCCTTTCTTCAGATTTTCATAAAATACGAATTTCTTTCGACAAAAAATTATTTCTAAAGTCTCATCTAAACTGGATTTTGTAGAATTTCTTCAATTTTTCTTTTTCCATCTTTTCATTTCCATCGAAATTCGAGATGAAAATGAAAATGCAAAAATATAATCCAAGTGACAAAATACTTAGATGTGCAAATGCGCATTTGTATGCTTCTTCTATATATGGAAAAAGTACGACAACGAAATGCGAAAAATGCGAAATTTCAGCTTCAAAATGAAACCATCAAAATATGTCATATTTTGTGCAAAAAATCCCGTGAAATGGCATTTCAAAAACAAGCAACACCATGATATTCCTTATGCCTTAAATCTTTCTTTCATTTTAACCTTCCAAACTCTACTGTAGGATAGATCACCTACCCCACTATGTTTCCTTCAATGCCCAACAAGCATTGAAGTGTATTTGGTGTGGTTGCCGCTAAAAATTTTTAAATTGGTTGGCATTAAAGGAAATCTTGATGGCGATAGTTCATAAGATACGAATGTATAAGAGAAATAAGAGAGTAAAGGAAGAGATGGCTGTACAAGGGTCAATAATGGTACTGAGCCAGTGTATGGCAAGATAATGTTCAAGGAATATAAGGAGTTTTGGTGTCAAGAGACTCATCCGTTTTGCTCTTTTTAATTTCGTAATCAGAATTTTTTTACCAATAAAAATCTAAATTTTGTTAAAATATACGTTTGATATAATGGATATGGATATATGGATATATGTAAATTTAAATGCAAATGTCGTTTGATATAATGGATATGGATATATGGATATATACGCATAAAATTCTTGTAAAATTCGCATCATACTGGCCCTTGACGAAAATTTCTAATCTATTCTAATCAACTCGCATAATCTCTACCTTAACCACAAATTACTTAAATACTCTCACTTAATAATTTAGTAATTTTTTTAAGGCGGAAATAATTAATTGTGTTTCTCAATTTTACACCTGGACAAAAATGCAAAATTATTTTTAGTGAAAAATCGCATTTTTCTGTGATCGCTTTAAGGAAATTGATAACGGCCTTTCAAAAATTTTTCTTTTTTTTCGAAATTTGCTCTTCAAGTTTTAAATGAACGGAATAAGAAATTCAATAAAAATTTATACAATGATTTTCCGGTTTTGTATCCCATCGCCGCCCTAATCATTATTAATTATTTTCGATACTATTTCCAATCTCTAATTCTATTTTCTTTCCAAATTTTTAATATTAATATCTTAAGCTATAGATAGTGATTTTAGATGAGAATATGTCGCAGACACAAATGAGAAATCCCTCTTAATCCAAATAAACTGTTACAAAATTCAACTATTTGAATATGGCAATACTTTGATTCGCAACTTGCAAATGACTTGCAAGAAAATAGTTTCCACGATATTTTATAAATTTACTAAAAATTAAAAGATTAAAAAATTAAAAATTGATGCTATAGCTAAACGAAAAAAATTAAATAGTGGTCAGTAAAAAAATTTCTAGAAAACTTGGAGAGATTCTTTGGTAATTAATTCTTCATGCAATTCTATCTCTTTTTTTATCGCATTTTTGCAGTTAAATCAAAGCAAAAACCTTGAATCAAACTTACTTTTTTTCTCTTTTAGAGGACCATTAAAAAATAGGACTTTATTTCTTCAGTTTTTTACATGTTTTTTCACTCTGATATGACAGACGTATGCATGTTGTAACGAATTCATCACGCAGCTGCCGGCAAACTGCCTTAAACTTTTTGTTGTATTTATTAAATAATAAATTTCTCCAGAAATCAAACGTTTCTGGCATATAAGTAGTTTTACACAGTACCTTTTATACAATGAGCACAAACAATAGAATCAAATTTAGAATTTATTTGATTTGATTTAATTTCGAAAAATGGGGAATTAAACAAATAATTAACACCCACTAAAGGCTCTTTCCATAAGCAGAGTAAGAAATTTCTTTCACTTAGCAATTAGCGATGGAAATATTACAGGTGAGTAGCTAATATCAACTGAATTGTTTAGTGATAGAATTCTATAGAAAGCACGAGCAATAAAGTTAATTCGAGCAATAAACAATTCGGCTATCCTGCTTCTCAATATAGTAAGTAACAAAATTTTGTCAAAGCTTGGCAGTTAACTATGAATATTGCGAAAAAAGATTACCGTTTAATTCTATAAATAGGATTCCAAAGTTCCATTAAACCGAGAGATGAATCTCCTAAGAAAGATTTATAAAATTTTGGTTGAAAACTAATTTTCAGGATGTATCAGCAATCTTTATTAGCAAAGCTATTAATAATTTGTAGTATTTACCATAACAATTTCGCCAAGAACAACTGCTCAATCAGAAATCCATTTGAATGTGATACAACGTTGGCTCAAGAGAAAATTGAGCCACAAATTAAAATTTCTACTCAACGAAGCGCTACGATTAAAGAAATAACCTCAAATGAGAGGATAATTTATCAAATTTCTGATACTGAAAAGGTACTGTGTAAAACTACTTATATGCCAGAAACGTTTGATCTCTGGAGAAATTTATTATTTAATAAATACAACAAAAAGTTTAAGGCAGCTTGCCGGCAGCTGCGTGATGAATTCGTTACAACATGCATGCGTCTGTCATATCAGAGTGAAAAATCATTGATTGAATTTTGCCAAGCATATGAAAATATTTGCTTCGATGTTCCAATGGAAGATTCGATAAATCGAAAAATTCCATCGTTCGTTTCTTATTTTCGGTTTAATCTTTTATTCATAAAATATTAAAGGGTAGGGTAGTCGGATGACTTTGGCTCAGATTATTAAATGTCGGAGTTCATGTCTTGCTTGTTGTTAAAAAGTCTGGGTAGTTCTAATGAACACTGCTATTTCATATTCACCTATACTCCTGTTTTTAACTGACGCTCTCTGGCAAAAAATTTTTCATTTTCACTAACAGCCAGTGGAGCAAGTCTAATCAGAAATAAATGACTTTCACTAATTTCGTTATCTGTGATTAGCACTCTTTGTAAAACCAAAGCCGCGAAACCGAGCTTGAATTTACAATTAATTTTACATTTCTAAAGTATAAAATATCCTGACAAAGCATATTTCTCCTTTTCATGATGAATGAGCGTCTGGTCAATATAAGATTTTCTTTTAATTTTAATGCTGACCATTAATATGGATAAAACCAGAGGATCACTTGTGGATAGAAGTGAAAGACGGTGGATCATCAGCATCAGTTGATTTTGAATTAACTCTTGATAATAATGTTGGCATCGTTTCTTAATTTCTTGCCACTTATTAAAGAAATAATTGGATGATTTTAATTTTTTCCGCGACTTTTTTGAACTTTATTCGCATTTCTAAAGTTCTGAAAAGAATTGGTAAATAAATTTAAAAAAAAGGTGAGAAAATTGTGTAAATATATGTATGTATGCTAAGTGTATGCTATAATTTTAAAAACTCAAAATTCTATTTTCTAGGATAACAACAACAACGACTGAAAATCCTCACGATTATATACTATTTTGTCGCGAATTCAAGCATCGCTTCTTGTATGTTTGCCCGGATCCATTGCGTTTTGGCCAGAAAGCAGTTGTAATAATTTTTTGTTGTGCTATTTCAAAATTTAAGAAATGTGTTATAATCATCGTTTTATAGTATTTTAGAGCAAGTCTGAAGGAATCTTTTGTCTTTATCTTCATTTTGCCTTTTATTGTGCAATTATTTTAAAATTTTTTCTTTTTTCATATTTATAAATTTCCCTGCCATCGAAATTTAAAAAGTGCAGCTTATCGTAATGAAATGCTCAGGATTTAGCGCTTTGGATTTTTACTCTAACAAGATAAATATTAAATTCTGTATTAATAATCTGTATAAATAAATAATTAAAAAATCTGAATGCTGCTAATTAACAAAAGTTTGTTTCTTAAGTAGTCTACAAAAATTCCGATTAAATGACTCGTGTAAAATCTATACAAATCTATTTGAAATGCCCGAAAGATTAAATAAAATGAATAAATAAATAATATGATTGAAATTAACGATTAAAACAATAGCTTAAACAGGAAATTTGATGCAGTAATGCATTTCTGAGATAATCATCTATTTTATAACTTTTGTACCATAAATTTACGAAGGAATATTTTAGATATTTTGTCCTCTATACGCAGAACGTTGCGATGTTGCGCTACCAGATCGATCCATAATTCCAACTCGACCTCATAACGAGCATAAAATAGTGATAGCATCGCTCTGTAGCCGTTATAAAATGTTTGCTAATAATTACTGTCGTAATCCGTTTTTTCAAGGAAATTATAAAAGTGCTTGCGAGAAATATTTCCAATTTTGCACCAGTAATCATCGATAAATATCCACTTAATCCTGATTCTATTTTTTAAATTTTCTAAGCGATATTTATCGGCTCGATTCGGTTTGATGAGATTCTTTCATTTCTTTGAGTAATTCACCCAAAAAAGCTGGAAAAATTGAAAAAAACAAAATTTTTCTTTCTATATTTGTTTTTTGCTGGTTGTATTGCTTATTTGCTTATTTGTTATTAAATCCAATAATTAAATTTTTATAAATTCTTGCTAAGTAAATATCTATTAAATAATTTCAGCTCGAAATCAGTTTTTAAGCGAATTTTTATATTTTCATTCCCTTTTTTTCTTATTTTTCTTATTTTCCACTCAAAATTGTAGGCTCATGAAGAAAATCTAATTAATGTCTGGGTTTTTTGGTTCCAGAAAAGCTTAAAAAGCTGGTGCAGCACCAAAAATTTTATTCAATTTTTGTTTAATTTTTTATTTACCAAATCTTTGATGAAAATTCTACTAAAAAACGACAAGTTCCAACCTGATTATTCGATTGCAAACATAGATGTATGTTTGCAAAATGTCCTTCATTACGATTCAATAATTGTTTGAGGACATTTGCAAGTAACACCACTTAAACAACACCACTTTTCTATCTCATTATTATGTAAATAAATAATCAGAAAAAAGTATAAATTCAAAAATTTTCGTACTAAATTGTGTTTAAAAAGAATGTGTTGGGAATAGAATTTTCGATAGTTTAGTCTTGCAGGAAAGGTATTTATTTTAAATATTTCAACTGTTGAATTATCTCAAACTATCAGTGGATTACAATTAATCAGTGCAGTCAGTGCTAAAATGATTGGTCCTCTGGGTATATTCAAGTGGCTGAAGATATATTCTTGCCAAATGGATTCCTTGAAAATTGTCTTCCATGTTATTTTCATGCGTTTTTCGTCGAGATGTTTTGTAGAAAATCATAGCCATATTCGTTGGTGTGCAAATTATAGTTTCTTATGAATCATCAGATCTAAGCCATTTTTTATGCCATTTAAGCCATTTATATTATTTTTCCTCATTTATTAAATTTATTTCGGGATCCTTACTCACTTGCAAATATTACTTGCGATTTAGGTTAGGCAAAATCTGCTATAAAATTTAATCTTTTCATCATCTATAATCTTTTTTTAACATTCACAATGTATCTAATTTGGCTGGTTTCATTAATTAACGGAATTGGATCTCTTAGCCAGAGAATCATCCCGAAAGTAGAAAGAACAGCTGTATGTACCCTTATGAAATCCAATACAACATTAAATTTTCGTAAAAATTTATCAGCAACAATAGACAACTAATTAATTAAATTATCTACTATCTTACCGAATGATGTTGGTGATACACATATAATTACATCGCCAAATAATCCCTGGCACAAATGCCTAACCTTTTCAACAACGAATAAGGCTAGCCCTATTAGAAAATGAATTTTTTCAAAAAATTTTCCACATTTGAGATAATTTGAGAACTATTTTTTAATTTTGTTCTTTTTCTGTTAGTTACTTAAAACTTCCAGCAATGCAACTTCTTTTGCCATAATATTAGCAATAAAAAATTTTTCGTTTAAATACTTCATAATTCGTTAAAATGGCTGCTACTTCGCAACTTCGCAATTTTGCCTGACATATCCTTCCTCTTCCTCTTCTTTTGGGAATTTCTTCAGTTTTTTTCACGATTATTTTAAATTTATGAAAGATTAGTTGTCAGAAAAACAAATAAATAAAGAGAAATAAACTCTACCATTTTTTTGGCCCAGCAAGTGCTAAAACAATAATTCACTTCTCGAAAAATGCTTTCCGTTTTGAACGCGTAATTGTAAGGTTAAAAAAACTTATAAAATCGTGTTGAATGCAATAAAAAGAGCAAAAACCAACGGTTGTGCAATTAAATCATAAAATGATGGCAATTTTTTCGCTAAATTAACCATTTGAAGTAATTAGACCGGCAAGGTCATATATATCATGCATGCATGTGCTATATCGAAAAAGGAAATCATAGAATGATTTTTGTATAGCAATTAAATATCCACTGACCCTTTCGTTGTTCTAATCATCATCAGTCGTTGCAGTCTGCTTAATCTAATATTATCTTATATCTAATTCCCTGATCCCCTTGCAAAATTTTCGGATAAGTGGTGCCACTGTTTTGATATTTCAATTCTCTCTGATAATAAAAAGAATTTTTAATTTTTTTTATTAACAATCCACGTTTCAACAAAATTTTTTGGTGTCATAAGAAGTGTTTGCTTTCGAAAATCTAATAATTTAATAAAAATTTTCTTTCTCAATTCGGGTTGGTCACTAAGTGAATACGAATTATTCAAAAAATCGACGAAGATTTTTATTCTTTTTTCTACATCTTATTTTTTAAGATGTTGAGATTATTAGTGAAAGTACTCCTTTGTGATCTATTTTGTGTAATAAATTTGATTAATGGCCAATATTATGGGAACCAATTTCTGCCAAATATGAAAAGTCCTATTCAGTTCAACAATGCACCAAAGAATAATCCTCTTTATATGGATAAATATCGTAATAAAGCGCTATATATACCAGTCAACTTGGTAAGTTAAATATTTTTTTGAGGATCTAAGGGACTTTCATTATCATAACTCCCTTAGTGAATGAATGTGGTAATTTCGGGCATCACTTGCTACTTTATATTTCTTCTTGCGAATTTGGTTTTTAGTAGTTTTTGTCATTTCCATGCAAATGACTTTTTTAGAACAAATAATCGTCATTGATATTTTTAGAACAAATATTAATCGGATTTTGGTTGGTTTTAAATCACAAATCATGCAAATTTTCATGAATTCAATTTTTAGTTTTCACTCTTCACATTAAAATCAATTGAGATCATTGCCCAATTAGTAGTAAAAAATTAGGAATTGAAATCAAAATTAGGAATAGGAATAATAAAGTTTTTTCTTAGTAGAAACCAACGAAAGTTCTTGTTCTTGTTTGATTTTTTATCCTTTTAAAATAAAAAAATGGTTCATTGACAAAATAAACTGAAAAACTTGTGCGAAATACAGCAAAAGAATTTCTTTTATAAAAAAAAAATTATTGATTACTTCCAGAGGAACGAAATAAAATTGATTACTTCCAGAGGAACGATCATGTATTATTGCCTAATAAAAATTCACAAGACAGGCACAGACATTTCATGCAAATAGTTCCAGAAAATGCTCTTCGAAGTTCCAGATCTAGTTTTACAAGCGATGACTTACCTTATGTCTTAAAGGGCAAAGTGGTTTCGCAATCCTCGCCATTCGTATCAAAAAATGAGTATGTGGCGACAATCACTGAAATTAGAAATAATGCTTCACCAACGGAAACAAAAAATCAACCAGAAGCATTAGTTTCGAGCAAAATTGATGAAATGTCTCAACAGTATGAATCAGAAACTCTTCCCCCAGGAATTCCACCATTTCTCAAAGGTGCTTCGTTAGATATTCATAGAAGGGTTAGTTCTAAAATTTAAATCATTAACAAACAAGTTTTATCTGTGTAATCATAAAAGTCTTCTCAATAACTTATTTTTTATTTTTTAAATAATACTTGAAATTTATTTTTTTCAATCATTTCAATTACTTTTTGGGACTTTAGAAGTTTTCTTTTTAGTTTCTAGAAATTGTTTTCAATCGCAATGATAGCTTTCGAGGAAAACAAACTAAACTCGATGAATTGGTTTCAAAATTGGATATAAAAAATCAAGTTAGTTTCGTAATTCATAATTTATTCTTAATATTCAGCTTCATAATTCGTATTCCATTTGAAGGTGGCTCAGTGGGTTGTTATTCTTATGTCGGAGGAGATATTGGGGTTCCATTTTTTTTAAAAATCCGAGTGAGTGCTGGCAGACCATCTATATTTCTATCATCAAGTGATTTCCTGGCAAATTTCTTCCATACTAATAGATGATAAAGCTTTTTTGTATAGAATATTTATAATCATCCGTACTTAGTCGATTTATAATCCTTGAATCGCTTTGAAGAGAATACTCATTATTTTCGTATATTCATGATTAATAAGAAAGCATAAATTTATCTTAGATATATTATTGCATTCTGGCAACAAATTTTTTTACTCTTTGAGACTGTCATAAAATGCACTCATTTCATTTATTGCAAGTATGTGATCTTCAATAGATTCAACTTTTTTTGCCATAAAAATCATTTCTTAATTAGATTCAAATTTGAAATTAAAATTTTAGCAAATGTATGAACAATTTCGTAAAAACAAAGACATTGAAGAAACGGAAAGACGATCGAGAATCCATGCTTTAGTTGCTACTATGTCGGATAAAGCACAAGCAGCTTTTGCTAAAGTAAATAACTTCCTGAAACTATCTGTCTAAAATCCTATAGTAACCAGGCTTATCGATAATTTTTCAAAATTCTTGATTTTAATTACCATTTGGTGCTTTTCAAATATTTCACTTTATTCTTGTAAATATTTATTTGTTCTTATAAATTCTATGCAGATCTCAGCTGTTCTCATGAATCCAGATACGAAAGATTTTGAACGGCAGGAAATGCTTCAAAAAATCTATTCGAAAGTGGAAAGCAGTGTTAAAAACGAATTCAATCGCCGTTTTGCAGAACTTGTTTAAACTTTCGTTACAAAACTTTTTGCATAAATCTATGTTTCTTGAAAAAAAATTTGAAAAATCTGGTTTTATGCATAAAAAATTTTCAAATAGGTGATTTAATGAGTTACGAATCAAATATAATTTCGACTTGATTTATTGAACAGTTAAATAACAAAACGATAAACAAATGAAAAGATAATTTCTCCAAATTTTGACAAAAATTCATCCCGAAATTTTACCACAGTTAAGTACCCAAAGTCGAGTAAAGAAAGCAGCAACATTTGTAATTATCGTATCGTTTTCCCTTACTGCAAAATTTAACTTCTGACCACAAATTCTAAGTTTTGAAAGAAATGGGAAATGGAAATAACAAAGAATTAAAAGCAAGAATTAGAAGCTTAAAAGCGAAAAAGTGGAATGTAATATAATTAAATAGGTAGCACAATTGATGTTCATTTAGACTCGTTCCGAGAATGCGATGAAAAAAAATAAAATTTTTTCTAACGAACGATAGAAATATAGATGAAAACTCGATATGATATGGATTTTTATCTCGAGATGATGATAATTTGATGAAAATGAACAATAATATTCAGTTACTTTCCTACAGTGCCATGCGCATTGATGCTTTTATGAAAGCTATGATTTTTCAATATTTTCGAATATTTAAAATTTTCAAACAGAGAGAAAAAGAATAAATTTATATTTTTTCCTAAATTTTCAAAAAATTTTTTTTGCCAAATTTTTTTAAAAAAGATTTGTTTTTGTTAAATTATATTCGTTTACAAGGAAGGAAGCGGCTGAATTTTTTTGCCAAGTAAAATTTTTTTCCGAAATTCTCAACAACCTGACTGATTACTTTTTTTTCTATAATTAGTGATCATTAATAAAAAAAACTGCGTTCCTATAAACAAGATTTTCAATTTTTAACAACAACAATTATAAATAATTGAAATTATTACTTATAAAAACAGGAATAAAACTTGAGGAAATAACAGACAACATTCTTTAAAGAATTTAAAGAACTATGCTTTTTGTTTCTGACATCCGTTTCATCCGTTAATTATCATAATTATCATAAATTATTACTAAGAGAGGATGCCGAGAGGTATGATTAAAAAAAGGTTAATTCTCATCACAGGTTCGTTTGATAGAACAAGACCTGCCATCGTAAGCAAAGTCCGGTTGGCACACCTATTTTACTAAATGAAAGGATTTCATCATTCTAGCAACTGGAAAAAACTGGAAAAACCAAACCAAAAGTGGTACTTTAAAAGATGATACGAAAATATTATTATTAATAATAAATATTTTTATTATTAATGAGATTTTCTCTATCGGATTTAAACTTAGATTGATTGAGAATCTCAGAATCTTGAGAATCTTGTCAGATTTATTTATTTTAACTAAATCTTTACTATTAATTAGAATCTGTTGAATTCGATCTTGCACTGTTCCACATTTTTGGTTTTCAGAATGTCACTTCTTGGAACACTTATCTTCCCATTTATTATAACTTTCATATGCTTCATCGTCTTCCAGTTTTATTTGAGGCGTAGAAATTTTCCACCTGGACCAGTACCTTTGCCTTTAATAGGCAATTTTCATCAAGTAAATTATCGAATTAAATTTGAACAGAAAATATTGCTTTTGATTGCTATGGATACAGAAAAAATTTTAGATTGACCTTGCTTATCCGCATCGCACAATGGTAGCATGGAATAAGAAGTATGGAGAGATGTTCACCGTTTGGCTTCCTAAACCTATAATTGTATTAGCCGATTATAAAGTTATGAAAGACGCGTTAATTAAACATGGTGAGAACATTTCATAACTATTTATGAAATGGCCAATGAATTATTTGTTTTCTTAATATTTCTTTATCTTTTTTTTTTTAAATCATCCTAGAATCATAACACGTAACATAACAAATCATTATAACACATATCTTATATAACAATTGGAAACTTATATAACAATTCCGGGTGATGCTGGTGACTCACCTGTACTTCTATCACTAAGGGACTCCCTGACACATTTGTCTAGCTCAACATGCCTGTGAAGAATGCTCTTAAAAACAGTTAAAAACCAGCATTATAGTCAGCACTCGTCGACCAAATTCCAAGTGTTCGAAACTAAAAGGCTAATTGAACAATTTTATAAATAAAATATTGTGGAGTTTTTGTGAACAAAATTTTTCAGGAGATGCATTTTCTGGAAGACCAATGACATTTGTATACGGTATATTTTCTAATCATCAACCTGATGGCGATGGCATAATCCTTAGCCAGAATGAAAAATGGATTCACCAAAGAAGATTCGCTTTAAAAGTTTTCCGAGATTTTGGTATGGGAAAAAATTTGATGGAAACCAAAATAGAATATCATTGCAATAAGCTTATCGAGTTAATTCATTATGATATATCTAACGGAGTAAGAATTTTTAAGACCAATTTATTTTCCATATTTTATATTTCATAGAGCTATTTTAGTGCAAAATCCGTGAATTTTAAAGCCTATTAAAGGATATCCAACTAATCGTAGGGAATTATAAAATAATATGTGTGGAATACTTTAGTTCAATTTCATTGAATCTATGATAAAAGCAGAGGCCAATAATCTTTACTGATTTGGATATCTAGCAATAACAGTTGAAATTAAGTAGTAAAAAGAACTTACTGAATAATACAACCTTACTGACCGATCTAGCCGTTTCACTTTGAGGTTCCTTCTTCAGTTTTTCATCGCCGCATTAATTTTTGAGTAAATTTTGAGTAAATTTGAATATTTGTTTCTTCTTCTAAAACCATTTGTTGTGTGGATGGTCCCGCTGATAACGAGGATTGTCCTTTGCTGGAAGCTTACCTGGGAACTATGAATAGAGTATGTCCTCAACACCACATCGATTGGATGATGTGCGAACAATGGAATTGGTTTATCACCTCAGTATTTAAGCTCATAGACGAAATATTAATGCTTATTTTAACATATCTAGTTCTGTTCCATTTGAATAATTCTGTTTTTAACTTAGCTTAGTAATCTTTTTGACAAATCGAATAGATGATAACATCTTTTTGCATCTTTTAATTTCTTTATTTTTTCCATCTTTATTTTTTATTTAATTGCCTTATTGAATAAAAATTTTGACAAAAATTAAACAATTTTCGATAAAAATAGCTCTTAATATGATTTATTTGCTTTTTTATTTTGTCACTTTGTTTTTAGAAAACTATTATGAATCTTCACCTTCCAGTTGCATTTTGTGTTGGAAATATAATCCAAGATTTGGTTCTGGGGAAAAGTTATAATTATGGAGACAACGAATTTTTACGATTCAAAAAATTGATTGATAGCACTCTTAAAGATGCAAGTAATTTTCTTTATTTATACATGATATTAATTAAATATAGCTGAAATGGCCAGGTTTATTGGTATTCGTATAGTGCAAGTGGCACCACGTTGGATAAGACAATTTATATATTCAAAGGATCAACAAGGAATTAGAGACATGCAACCTGTTAGAGACTGTTGAAATATGTCTTCCAGTGCCTCTTCGGGAAATCCGCATTAAATGACTCGTCGGTCCAGCTAGATATGCGCAAATGGGCCAATATTTTAATGATTTGAATAAGCTTTTATCCCCAGCACTCAATTCCAGTGTCGTTGGCAATGCTTATACTTTATATTTATACTTTTATATTTATAATTTTCCTTCCTTATAATTTTCCTTTCTTGCATCATTTTTTTCTTTTGCTGACAGTTTTCTCTTCCTTAGCTGTGGGACTTCCATAGCAAGCACTAAATTAGGTAAGTATTATTTTTCAGAAGGTCTGAAGGATTTAATACAATCTCTTTTTGTTTTCACCGAATATAACGACAAATAAGCCTTGCCCATGGAAATTTCGATAAATTATCAAAATTGAATGTAAAGTAGGAATGTTCAGAAGAAATTATTACGACTTTTTCATAGGTTATTCTTATTTTTCCTATAGAATTCTGAAAAAGCTGTTCAATTTCAGTTTGCCAGTGTCGAGATGTTGATGATCGATTGTTATCCATGGATGCGGTTTTTTCTTCCCAAATATTATCGATATTGCAGAAATGGTTTCGCACTACAAAAGTTTTTCCTAGATCATATCGATGAACATGAAAAACATCTCTCGCATGAAGACGATGAACCATTTGATTTCATAGATGCCTATATAAAAGAGATAAAAAAGAAAACTAACGGAAATAATTATAAGTAATAAATAATTAATAAAAATTAGTACAGTAATAGCACTTGAATATCAACTTGTTACTCAAATTTCATCAAAAATTACTTTTCTTTGATTTGCAGAAATTTTGTGATGCATTCTACTGTAAGTATTATTTCATTGCATAATCATTTTTTTCTAGCAAAATATCATTGGCTCTAAATTCGGGTGATTTGTGGACAGGTGGCTTGGAGACGACTGTAACTACGATTCGATGGGCAATCATTTATATGATAAGGTTTCCCAAAATTCAAAATCGATTATTTGACGAAATTTCGAAGGTTATTTGATTTTTTTTATTTTCTCATTTTCAATAGATTTAAAAATGATTAAAATATTGATTTAGGTGATTGGGGCAAAAAAAGTTAAATGGTTAGACAGAAATAATATGCCGTATACACTTGCAACAATTTATGAGGTCCAGCGATTGGTAAATATACTTCCTTGGCATATTCCGCATGCAACAACAAAAGATATCTATTTTCACGGATATCTCATACCAAAGGTAAAAAATAAATACTTTAAAATCAAATACTAATTCATAGTCAAATAATTCTTTAGGGAACGACGATAATGCCTCAATTAGGAGCCATCCATTTCAACGAAGAATTGTTTCCGAATCCGGAGTCCATTAATCCTGAGAGGTTTTTAAAAGAAGATGGTTCTCTGCGATTAATCAATGAATTTAATCCATTCGGAATCGGAAAACGATCTTGTTTGGGCGAAGCTCTTGCTCGTATGGAGCTTTTCATGATATTCACCACTCTTATACAAAATTTCCAATTCTCGACAGCTCATGGTGAAATTTAATTTGAAATTTTAATCTGCCATTTTTCTCATTTTTTTCAAATTTTAATGCATAAATACAACTGTCGCTTATTATTAAAGCTTTCGATATTTCTAAATCTATGTGTTAAAATCATTTTTACCTAAAAACTTCTTCCATGATAGGATCCAAATAAGACCACTTTTCCAAAGTGAAATTTAAGGAGTGGCTCCATCGCTTAAACGTTCACTTGGTATGGCTTCTGTGCCTCAAGAATACGAATGCACTGTCGAAGCAAGACATCATTTATAAAAATTGATTTAGAAGATAAGTAAAGTAATTATCGGCAATAAAATTTTTCGCGTGTTTTACTATTCTGAATTTCTTATCATTTTTTTTTTTTTTTGCAAGCTCGTAAACATAAGAGCACACCAGGTTGAGATTCGTGAAAAAGAAACTGCCTAGCTCGAATTTGCATGGATTATCTGCATGATTTCTAGGAAAATGAATCCATTTAATCTTCCTAATTTGGAAAATCTACTCTGAAATATTATAAAGAAATTTCGTTTGAATAGTGTTAGCAAATTCGGGCGCTTATTTGATTTAATAATTCATTTTTAATTTTTAATAAACGGATTATTCCGAAGATGAGGAAATTTGAAAATGGGAAAGAATGCCGGTTAATCTCGCTTTTGCGTTCTAATTTTAGGCTTAATATAATGCGACATCATAATAGGTCGATCATGAGGCAAGAGCAACCTTTGCCAATGGCCGAGTTCTTTACCGCTAGTTCTTGGGCCGATTGTCACATGTCCAACACTATTGGTATTTTGATAATCTATGGCGACAAAACTTAACCGGATATTGCTTTTCTGAAATTTTGAGGCTAAAATCTGTTTTACAGCCATGTCTTGAAAGCAACATTTAGAAATTGAGAAATTTTATGCGTGGGACTTTGCTTAATTTCCTTTCGCTTAAAACCAAGCGATGCCCTAGAGAATCACAATTGAGATCAAAAGTTCTTAACTTTTGTCTAACTTTTCATGGACCCTTTTGACTTTTTCAGTGATCAAGTTATCAGGCATATAAGTATATAATGAAATATCACAGTGCAATGGGAAAGAAAAGTGGCGGGAGTAATTTCTATCGCTGCTAACCATTATTGTATCTTGTAGTCGATAACCATAATTGAAGGAAAAGACAAATTTCAAATTTCAAACATCAATTTTCCCTACTGAAATTTACGGACCTCTTGGTTCCATAAATCCCAGCTCAAGAAAACCTGATTTAAATGATCACAGTTCAGATGAATTTATGTCAAAATTTACTTGTAATTTGCTTTGAGATATATTGATGAAAATTGATTCGCTAAAGTCAACACAATGATCAATAACTGGTTTTACCGATGTTTTCTTTTTCAGTACTCTTCTTCCTGGCTGTACGAGATATATTCGAACCATGGCTTCTGCAATAAGAATCTTACAACATCAAAAGAATTTTAAAATTAGCCATTTTTCACCAATTTGGCACATAATCTGCAACTAACCGTTTATTGATGGATCAAGTTTCTGAGCCCTAAAAATAATAATTGAAAGACGATCCTTCTGGTAAAATAATGAAAATCGTATTTCTCCAACAGAACAATCTGGATCATCCATCTGAAGTTGGCACTAAGTTGTATCTCGGAATGAAGAAAGAAGTATAATAAAGTATTTCAAAGATAACATGCCACTGAGGTCTGAATTGAGTAAATTTTGTGAAGTTAAATGTGGCTGAAGATTGCATTTCGCATCTAATATTATTTAACAATAGCAAAGATTCGCCTTAAGCAGTGCAGAACCTCAAATATCCAGTTGTTAGTATCCTCTCAAAACTAATTTTGTTTTTTTATCTTTAATTTTGTTTTCTAGCACTGTTACACTGTTTTTCATACTTGCCACGTCCTGTCTCTAACCCAGTTCTCGGTCTGCCCCTTCTATCCCTCCAGTTTCCGCATCCTGTTTTCACAGTTAATTTACAGTTGCAATTTTGTAGTTTGTGAATAGCATAGAGGTGAATAGTGAGGTTTGTTGAGGAATTTAAAAAACACAATAAGGATGGATAGCTCCAAGCAATCGGAGAGTTAAACGATTGTGTTACAATTAGGATTTTGATTCATAACGATGTTTATGATTTAAATGCTGCGGTCATGTTTCGTTTTCATTTTTGACTGAAGCTAGTTGGTTTAAGGAATGAGTGGGTGTATTAGCACTTCAGTGGCTGTTTATAGGATAAGGCAATAATAATAAAGATAATATCAAGTAAGATAGAATGATATGAAAGGTAATATTATCCAATTTTTACAATAAAAGGCAGAGGCAAAAACATTCGAAGTAATAATCTAAGACAACCACTTGGCTATTCTGCGAATATCACAAACTGATATAATAACCGATATAGAAAATTATTACAGAAATATGAGATTTATGCCTACTCATAAGTTAATTTCTATTCGCATACGTAAGTCATTTATATGTAATTTATTATGTCATTCATTCATAAATGATTAAAAAAATAATTAAACATGGTTGATAATTATTTTCCAATTCGACGAAAAAATATTCTGTGTTTATTTATACTAGATTATTGGTGTTCATTGCATCATTTTCAAATAGCTGATCAACATCAAAACGGATGGATTCATGAAAGTTAACGATTTACGAAATATTTTGCATGTACGCGATTCCAGTTTTTTCCAGCTTGATTAATTTCTAACTTTGGCAAAAAATAGAATGTCGTGCAAAAAAATTAATATCATTAGACACGCAAAATTTTAAAAATTTTTAATAAAATGGCTTTTCGATTTTAAAAAATTTTTATTTTACCGATTCGACATTTTTTAATAAGGCGAGGCAAAGTGCCGTCGAAGAATAGATATTAACATCGCGAAGACGAATGCGACACTGACCCTCCAGACATATTGCATTTCGTGCACCATATAGCTGAACCATTAATGCAATCTAAATAACACTTTGCTATGATGCACTTTGCAATATTACTTCAGAAATATGTACTCAGAATTATATTAAATAAATAAAAAATATTTGGATAAAAATAAATTTAAAGAAATATCTGCAATAAAAAAACAATTAAAGTTTTTTTGGCAACTTGATAAACTAGCAAAAGTTTGGTACTTTAATGTAATTATGAAGTTTATCTTCAAAAAATTTTATTTCGAAGAAAATAAATTCGAGCAGCTATCCAGCAGCACAGTGCGAATGCAGTTATTTGATGAAACGCCTTATAGGGCTATCTGAATCTTAAAACGTTTAAGGTACCAGAATAGTGAATAACAAATTCATTTTACCATTTTCGCCAAATTAATTAAGAGCAAAAGTTAAATTATTAACTTTTTTTTAAAGAGTCTCTGCTGGCTTGTCATACAAGTTAAATATGCCAGGGAATCCCTTGGCGATAGAAGTGCAGGTGAATCGCCAGCAACACTCGAATCTTCAAAGGGCAAGTTTACTCCTGCGGAGAGGAGAATCTTAGCGTCAGTACTCCGAACTGAGCAACAACCCACTGAGCCATTCTACTCTTCAATCTTTGAATATCTGCACGAATATTTTCATCCATCATCAAATGAAAAAACGGATTCTTGTTTTTTTCGTTGATGATTCATTAAGTTTTTCACGAAATGCCTAAAGCTATATCTGAAATACTTGTCTAAATAATAGACATGTTATTTTAACTTGGGTAAAACATAGTTCCACTTTTTGATGACGAAAACTTGTCTTTAAAAGTTCGTTCAAGATGGCATGAGAAGCCCACTTGTTCGATCCACCAAGTGACTATCTGGCGAAAGAAAGGCTCTTTCATCCTTATTAATAGGCAAACTAAATTTGATGGATTTTTTGGAGAAGAAATAATTAATATGAAATAAAATATATGAGCTATTATTTGTTTGCTTTTGCAAAAAAGTACACTTATTAAAGAAAGTGATGATAAAATCTGCTCGATTTTTGCAAACTGTTGAATAAATAAAATAACATAAATCGTAAAAATCAAAATTTGTTCCTCACTCTGAGAATATCCTTTTGTCGCACGCATTGCCGAAACGTTTTTTCATAAATAACTGGATTAATAGCGGTTGCTCGAATCTGAAATATTGATAATAGGTCATTACCACTGACGAAACCAAGATATGCAATATAGGCAATCTCCTGGATTCATCGTACTTCTTCAAGTTATATATTTAAATTTTTTAGCACGTCGAATATTTTTGTTTTAAAATGTTTGTTTCAAAAGTGGTATGGAAATTAGTTTTAAAATGAAAATCTTCACGTGACAAAAATTAATAATTAAATAAATTGGCTTTAGAAAAGTTGCCTCAGTTTTCCATAATGGTTTCGGATGCGGCAAAAGGTAAAAAACTAAATAAACTGAAGTAGCTTCAGGTGGATCAAATAATCGGTCAAGAAATACTTGCAACAGCTGATCATTTCTAAATAAGTTTTTCATAAATCTGAGAAAATGCTAGTTCTGAAATATAAAGCGAAATAAAATAAAAAGAACATTTAAGAGTATAACTTTTAGAAAATAACTTCTGATATGAAATGATGATTTGGATTGTTGGGCCAGCACTGTCGTAATAAGGTGCCGTTGAAGTCATGCTATCAAGGCTTTCTGTCGAGTGCGCTCTTGGCAAACGATCTATGTCGATTCGTTCGACTGCAGTACGGCAAAATTTTATGTGAGCAAAAATGAGCAATAAAGTTTATTATTATTCTCATTACTAAAGGCCGTATACAATTAGGCAAAATATATAAAAATACAAGATTCAACAGCTTTGCACAGAATTTCACAGGTCTCAATAGCAGTTATTGCTGCTTGCCTGTCAGCCTGTTTTTGCTGTATTTAAATCATAATTGAGCATAAAATATCTAAACATTTAAGCAAATAAGTAATGAAATTTTGAATGAACTGGTGCACATTTAAAATTTGTCTGAACTTTTAATTTGTTCAAAAAATAAGAAACAAGAAATATTTGCATTTGCAAACCAAACATTTTTGAGAACCTTTTATGTTTTTCTTAAATAAACGTTTATGCGTGTTTATCAAAAGAATCTTTGAATTTTAATTTTAAAAATAATTGAATAAATTTCCAAATTTTGGCAAAAATCTAAAAATTGATTTAACTTTCTCTTAATGAGTTGTGGCTCTCACTTCGGTGCACCAGTGCTAGTCCTCGAGTGAGTAAAATTTTTAAAACTATCTTTTAAAAACCCTGACTAACTGATGGTGGCATTGACCAAACACCTGTGCTTCTATCGCCAAGACAATATGCCTGGCAAGTTAATAGAATGAGCGTAGAACTAGGAATAATGAGCGCTCGTCAAAATGCGAAGTATATCTGTATTTCCTGGACTATTAATAAGAAAATTTTTTTTTATTAAAATTTTGCTTATGCTTCGATTGATTCTTTAATAGTTTTGATGATTGCTAAAACTGTGGATCTTCTTTTACCAATCTGTTCTAATTATAATTTAATCATTAACCGTAATTTAAAAAGCGTACCATCGCTATCTGCATCAGTATTGGTCGCCGAGTCTTGCTTATCTTGATTTTCACTTAATTTCAGGTTTTTCGACCAAATGATTTCGTCACATTTTAAATTACTGGAATATTGTTTGTTCTGTATGCACCCATTTTTTTTTTCTGCTTGATAATTATCTATGGTTGCCGAAATTTTTTTCCCTTTTACAAGTGGTCGATCCTCAACGTCGTCGTTCTCATTGATAAGTTGTTTCCACTGAACATAGTGCCAGATTAAAGTTATAAAATCAGTCCAATAAAACAGCAAATATATCAGAAATATGAGAATAATAATAAGTAACAGGGTTATTAAATAGGCACTCATTTCCTGGAAATTTTACCATGGTTAGCATAAAAAATAAAGATCTTCAATGAACAGATGGTCCAATGTAACTTAATGAAAATAAAGAATATCATTAATTTGAACATCATCAACGGCATACCAGTAAATTAAAAAACAAAAATCAAGCAATAAAATTTGTTGCTCATTCAGAAAATTATTTGTTCATTCATCTGAAGATACCAAATTAACAGTTTTTCGCATTTTCTCAGATTATTCAAAAAAAAAATCTGCAAATGATACTCGGTATGATTCGATATAATCTTACGCATTAAAATGATCGATGTATGTGGCTGGCAAAATTTTTTAAAATTTCAGATGTTTGCCCAGGGAATGATGCAAATTTACATTGATTTCTTTTAAAAAAATTGAAAAAAGAAAGAAATTTTTTCTTCAATTTTGCTTCAGTATTTTGAAATTTTTTTTTTCCACAAATACAGCAAATTTCGTCGAATTCTCTGAAAATCGCTTTCCATTTTATATTTATCATATTTATCTATAATTTATCATTTTGGCCGCAAGTTAGGTATACTCTCTTTCAATAGGAAAAAATTTCATTATATATCGAAATTACCTAAAATTCGTGCAAGTTTTTCTGTTCTTTTTGTGAAAATTTCGCGAGAGATTAAAAGTATCCATAATACCTATTGAAGTTAAAAGTACCCACAGGCATATCCGCAAAATTATTATAATTAGCCATATATGGATATCCATATTAATTACCTTATTTATAGAATATTACTA